TACCGATTCCAGCACGTTCGCGAGAAGCTCTCGAAAGGAACCAAGCGCGTCAATTGTTCCAATTAATCGCTGGATCCACCGGAGTGGCTAAAGTGTCGGTCGGCGCCATGGTACGTCGAAGTGAGACGTTGAGTGCGCCTCGTACGTTTCGTGGGTCCCACAAATTCCCATTAGGCGATCTCCTGGACCGCGTCCAGGGGCCCCCGATTCTTCGGACGGTGTTAAACGCCGAACCAGGTTTTTCGTCGGCCTTCGGCCGCCACGGCGTGTTGAATTCGGCGGATTCCAGGCGTCGGGAGCAGGCCGCCAGCCATTGTCACCGTTCGTCCATATTAGCGGCGGCTTCACGGCCGGGAGGGGCCGTGGAGATTAATTAGGGACGATGTTTTAGCGGCAAAAATGAGGCCCGGGCAAGAAACGACGACCATCGGCAGCCGCCTCAGCTCGCGCTAACTAACCGGCCGACGCCAGGGTTCGAGCGGGCCTGCTCGTCGCCCCTGGCAGCAAGAACGTGCTACAAATTAAGCCTGGATAGGCAGGAACCATCTCGAAAATTCGAACCTTCCACCCCTCCTCCTTCAACCCCTCCGTCGTACGGAGTCACTTTGCGCGCTGCGGAGGAATTCCATCGGATTGAAACGTACTATTCCAACCCTCAGTTCGACATTAGAATCTCGAAAAAGTCTAGTCGACGTTTCATATTGCGCGAAAACAGTGGAAGATCGGTCGTTGTCGATCATTTCTTGATCTTAAATTTGAGAATCTCTCTCAGATCCCTTGTGCCCTTTTTTCAACCAAATATTGCTGTATTGTTCAACCTGAGACTGTACACCTTGAGATATATGCAATATTAATTAATTTTATATCGGTGAACCGAGTTCGAGTCAAGTAAGTGTCGTCCAAGAAATTCTACGGTCGCGCGTGTTCCACTCGAGAGTCCGTCGAAGGCAAGATGGCGCGGATCTATATGCGGAGGTACACGGCTTTTAACGATGGTGCAACGAACATAAGAAAGGAACGCAGTTACCAGACCGTTAATTAACGTTCGAGTAACTAACAGTGACAGGTACATCTGGTACAGGATTACGGAATTGAATCCAAACTTGAACCAAATAGCACGGACGTGGAATTGATCTTCGACTAATTGACCGAGATCGAGACTGACCTGGCAAAGATTCGGTGGCCCCTGGTGTCCCTATTTGCTTTCTTTCGAGAAATTTTTATTGCGAAGTACGAAGTAGAGGAACGAAATTATTTGCCCAAAAGTACGTTCAAACCTGATCTCGTTTTCCAGGAAGTGCAAACTACTTACTCGTCTTATCGAAAAAGGGATTAACTGAGGATCGAGTATAAGTAGCAAACCACTCTTAGATAAATCACGCCGTCGCTCGTTTCTTTTTATTATGTTTATTCGATGAGATCGTTCAGCGTCACTGGCAAGCGTTTTTCGAACCGTTTGTGCAAACATACGTTTCGTCGGACACGCGAATGAACGATGGTTGAAGTGGCTTGGAAGAATGGAAAGAGTCTTCGAAGGAAAGGCACGAGGCTGCGTCGAATTCCGTAGACCGACCTCGTTCAATGATTTCGACGCGGATTTCGAAACAGCCGGTCAGAGGCGATCCATGAATACGTCGGCGTCCGTCGCGGCGCTCAGACGCGGCTCTCTTTTGGCAGCGCCGGAACGATTACCGTCGGATTTATCGCGCTCGTTCCGTGTCATCGTGTCATTCATCGCGCGGTCTATTCGGATCCGCGCGCCATTTTATAGACACGCCGCCAATTTTCACCCCCGACCTGTCTCCATAACTTCCGTCTATATTTAAGACACCGGTATTATATTTTACATTTATTCCGCGCCACCTAGCGCCCTCCCCTGCCCCGCGACCGTACAAAACGTTCCTCTAATTTATTCCGCCGCCTGCGAGCCACCACGTTTCATCGTCCGCCATTAATTCGCCGATGCTTTCCCGCCGAAATTTTCCTACAAAGTTTCAAAGTCTTTGTTACGCGTATGATAGATCGTCAGGCTTCAGTCTGGGTAAAAACAGTTCGATAAACTGGTCTGCTTGGGTTTAGGGGGTCGTAAAACTCGTGGATGATTTACAAACGTCGGGGAAGAGCCAGTACGTTCGTAAAACAATTTTCATATTTGAGCAACGGGCGGTGAAAATCTTGTGGTTGCTTAGAACGTTCAACGTTTATCTCTGTTGCACTCATTCTCAATGTTTTTCGCTTACAATGTTATCAAGCTGAATGGTGTACCTCCCTCGATAACGTTCGCCTAAAACCATGCAAAAGAAAAAGAGGGGACTAAAGAAGAATTTAATATTTAACACAGTGTGCAATTTTAATAAAACACTTACTGAAATTAAGCCGGAACTTCAATTAAATGTGTCTCTCGCATTATTGCAAGTAGTGCTTACATAAGAAGACAAAATTTAAAGAAGCTAGACGAGAGTTTGCATACACAAACATTACGTATTAAAAACATTTCTTATTAGAATGTAAACTTATGTTTACTGGGGTATTTGAAAGTAAGAATTTTGAATCGTATCGCGGTAGTTTGGCGTGGGAACGGGGCGTAAGGACGATCCGAATGCTCGCGGATGGAAGAATGGTAGCAGCTCACGGATCGGTGCGAGCAGCGATCGGGCAGGAAGCGGTCTCGCCGGCGCTTTTATCGATCGATTTGCCGTGTCGATCGGCAGCCGAGGCGCTAATGGGTTAGTCAGCTCGAACACGACTCGAGGCACGGCTCCGTGCAACGAGCCGTGCCGCGCGGGACGGAGCGTGCGAAAAATCCCTGCTTCCTTCTCCCTCGCGGGGCTGGCTGCGGCTGCAACATATGTAAATGGCGGTGGTACGCGAGCAGCAGAACGCACACGGGTCGGTCTCTCGCGTGTTCCCTGGACCCGTTTCCAGCCGCTCGTCGCACAGGACCCGAGCTATCTCGCTCGCGGAGACACCGAGTCGCGCCTAGGAATAATAAATAGAGATAGACGAACGCAGATAGCGGATACGGGGAACGCCCGCGTGTCCTGCCCACGCAGAGATTATCTCGAGGAATTATGAGTGACCGCTCGGGCTTCTAGGTTATGCAAAGCTGCTATCGACGCCGCTCGTCCGTGAAACGCTCCACGGTTCTCGATTCCTAAAACTTGGGGTCGCCTCGGGGCCGGAGGTGAAAGCGGTAAAAGCAGACGCTGCGAGCCACCGGTGTCTCCTCTCGCCGTTTGCTAATCACGATCGATTGCAGGCGCCTGGTCGGAAACATCTTTTCTAAAGGTGACGAAAAGTGTCGGGGTCGTTGGGTAACATTCCGCGGTCTTGATGTGGGAACTCTCTCTCTTTCTGGGAGTCTGTTATCCTGATTGCTGGTGACCTCACGGTACTCTAAGAAATCGAGGAACGTTATTTTCGTAGACGAAGGAAGGATCTAATGGTGCAGTAGCTCAAGTGAAAGTTAAGATCAGGTTCATTTTAGGAATCATCGCGAACTTAAAAATATTGAGAATTCCGTGGGAGGGAAACTTAGTATTCCTGACCCCCAGGTGGCTCAGATATAAAATACCTATTACCCAATACGAAATTATCCAGCGATCGTGTGTGTGTAGTACGTTACACGCCTGGATGGCGTTCGTCAACCACCGAAACTCGCTCGAGCGAGTCAGAGACCCCGGTCGCTCGCGCTGGTTGTCTTTCCGTATTTTTTTTTAATTACCCCCGTAATTTATGGATCGCGGCGATCTCGCACGGGCCGCGCGATCGTAACAATAGAAAGAAGCAGTGCACCGACGCCAGTCGTCCGTGAAATGCACCGCGCCGGGCTGTTTTCGCGGCGAGCAGCGTGTTCAACACGCTCGTTGCCTTTATTATCCCGTTCTGTTCCGCGATCGAACGCGCTCGAGCTTATTTTGTAATTGCTGGTATCACGGCCGCCGATCGAGCAGCAACGATCGACACGAAACTCGGCTGCGTTGGCTAATCGCGCGGGGCTCGATTATTCTCGCGACTTCCATCGCGACCGGAGGCGGGCAAAATTGAATTCGAAGAACGAACGACGATTAAAGGATTCTGAATTATTTAAACGTCGACGTCTTAATTTCGATACGCTCTGTTCTATTAATATACTGTAAAGCAATTCCTCGGCTCCTCGATCGTCGTCCTGTTCGGCGCAAAAACGGTCGGGATCGACGGTTCTCGTCGTACGTTTCAATTAGACGCAACAAAAGGCATCCGCGAAGAAACGGATTTTCGCATTTTTGCAACCGACCGCGACCCCGCGTAATTGCGAGCCTCGTTCTTCCGTATGGCGTACCGTTCGAGAAGAATGCCATTCGCGCTCTTAATTCCCTTTTGCACGGGGCACGGAAAGTGAGTTTTTCGTCCTGAAACGCTCTTTAGCGCCGAGTGGCAATTAGCCGTGGAATTAGTCGCGCATTCTGCACGCAGCGCCCCCTATTCGATCTTCTTCTTTGCGCATAAAGTCATTCGAACGGGGCATGTTGCGTCCGGGACTAAGTATTCGGCCCCCTCACCCGAGAAACCTGCTACCCAGAAAACGATCTACACTCCCAGGAAATCAACCTCCCATTCTGACGAAACTTGCCAATAATAATATTCTACATTGTTAAAAATTTCGAAGAACGATGGAGATCGAGTGTTTTAAGAATTCGAACGATCTTGCATGAATTATTTGTGACAGAATATTTTTAAAAAAATGAATGCAAGTACCATCCTAGTCCGATGAAACTTGGCACTCGAGTGGGTAATTTTGTGACATTTCTATTCAAAGTTAATTTTAATTTTTAATTCAAACGATCTTGCATGAATTATTTTTGATAGTGATATTTTAAAAAAATGAACGCGAGTACCACTTCGGAGGACTGTGTGTGTTTTATTGTTAGATAGAAGGTAGGAAGTAAATAGCGTAGTCAGTAGACGAAAAAGTGTGCGGAGAAAATTCGACTAAAGCTTCTCTCTTTCTTTTGTTTCAGACGCCATGGGTAAGTGGACAGGAATTCTCTTCTTCTTTGCGTACTTTCCCGTCCTCCGGTTCTTCTTCCCCGTTCTTGTCCGTCTGGGGCAAGGGTAACCGAGATCGTCGGTAAGCTCGACACGATCGAGTCGATCCTTTCGGCGCACGGAAATCCCTGCGCGCAATTGCCGCGCACGCACTTTAATGATCGTAATTAACGAAGCGGCTCCGCTACACTTGTAACTCCCGCGTCGCGTCTTGGTTTTCATGCCGCGTGCTCCGGTCCCCGTTCGAGAAAACTCGTCGAACGATTTAATCGCGGCCGCCTCGGAATCGACGATCCGCAGGACACTTCGCGTACAGTACGACTCAGTATTTCGCATTTTTCTCGTCTCTAAACGATCCTCTTATAATTTTCAAGATTCAAACGAGCTTTCGAGTCACGCGAGATCAATTTTAAAATGGCGAATTGAGTAAACTCTTTTTAAATTTTGAAAAGATCTTCTTTGCTACTCAGAGGATCCAACAGTTTCGGGACTAAGGAGCTCGCGTTTTCAGTTGTTGCACCAGCAAGAAATTGTGTAACGAAGCCCTGCTACATTATGCAAGCTCATGACTCTTCCGTGCTCGCGACTCGTATTGGAAAAACTCGTTCTCATTTAGTAATCATACGTAAAACCGACTCCCGAAGCGCAAAGAAGTTTTATAAAAAGCAGTTTGCTCCGAGTGACACGTGTACCGTTGACGTTAGACGAAATTAACCTTACAAGCTCGATTCTCGGTTTTCCGTGTATCATCGATCCGATCACGCATCGACGGATAACACCTCGGGCCAAGTGGAATTATTCGATCGGAAGTTGCCTGTCGAGACCCGATTAATAATAATAATTTAATAGTTTAAATGGTGCTGTCTTGCAACCGACGAGTCGCTCGAGTTTGTCGATCTATTCGATCCGAGGTTTTCATCCGGCGATCGATGATGGACAGAAAACCAAGAATCGAACTTGTAAGGTTAATTTTACCTAATGCCAACTGTACACGTGTCGTTCGAAGTAAAGTGCTTTTTATGAAACTTTTTTGCCCCTCGAAAGTGGAATTCGCGCCATGATTAATAAATGAAGACAAGTTTCTCCTGACGCAAGTTCCGGACGGAGAAGTCATAATCTTGCTTACTATTCGACCATTACAATTATAGATCCGGACTGTAATGTTTTAATATCGCTATCGCTGTTTTTACGGACACGAACGATCACGCTAAAGGGCCTGAGGTGTACTGGGAACGACGCTTCACCCTTTCGAGCATAGTTACCAGGGACATAATCGCGACAGGTTCGACTTTACGAACAAGGATTGACAGGGACTGTACTCCGCGACGATCGTCGAGCGATCTTGCGCGGCTACCGATCCGTTTCTGGTCTCCCGTGGACGTTTCTTCGGATCGGTTCTCTCTGTCGCGCGCGCCACAGTAACGAGGCGCTCCAGCGGCTTAATTAGATTAATTAGATTGCAGTCGAGGCGGATCGCGCGTTCCAAGATCTGTCGTGATCCGCGATCGACGCTTCCGACGTTACGTTTTCATTTCTGCTCGATCGATTTGCAAATTGACCGATATCCATTATCTAACACATTTCCAACATCCAACCATACGATTTCACGCGTGGTCCAACTATTAAAATAATTAAAAAGTAGTCTTTCCCATATTAAAATTGAAAAATCTTATTCTAATTTATTTGCAATCTTCGATACTCCGTTGATATAGAACCGTCGCTCTAACTATTAAAATAATTAAAAAGGAGTCTTTCTCGTATAACATACGTGTTTTAAGTAATTTCTCCGCCGTTTAGAATTGAAATATATGGAAAACTCGACCCGCAGAAAATCTTATTCTAATTTATCTTCGATCAATTAAGCAATCTTCGATCTTCCGTTGATATTAAAACGTCACTTTGTTCGTCACAGTTTGATTGGAGGATTTTTGTCGTCCCGGGGCCCGGGGTATCGCGCATTCATGAATAGGTTTTTCGTGAAGCGCGTCCGCATGGTAATTCATCTAAATCGTATATCAAAACCGTAATCTACCGTACACACGCGGCGCCGTGGAATCCTTAACGATGTAATTAATATGTAAACTGTAAAATCTGTCCGGCAGAGAGTCGGCGTCCTATAAATATGTATGCGACACATCGGGGCCCGGGTGCATTCTTCATTATAGATCGCCTCGAAGCGACGTCGCCATTTTATTTTTTTTTTTTTTCGGCTCGATATCGTCCTTTACTCGAATCCGTCTCTCTCGTTTTCCACGCGCACTTTAGACTTTATCGGCACGATCTTCGTCCATTCCATAAGTAATATCGATAACTTAAATTCCGCGCGCATGAATATTCATGGCGTCGGTGGGTTTGTCGCGCGTACAGTGTAGCAAACCCGCAGACGATTTACGATCGCGCGTACGAGAGATCGACGCGTGTTTCGCACTTTTTGGGATAACCACGGGCGGAGGAAACGCCCTCCGGCCACGAATTATCAGAGATAATTCGTTCGGGGCCGCGCGTCGATGTAATTAATATATAAACGACGAAAGTCCGTACACGGACGCCTATAAATATTTATGCATTGTATTATTCAGCGAATAGAAAATTACACTAACGTCGCGCGTATAATATTCGAGGAGATAATGACTCGAGATGGAGAAAGAAACGCGAGTTATCGATCCCCCTCGACCCTTTATTCCGTCGGTAGATCTCGTTATCGGCGCGGGAAAAATGGTCGCCGCGGTATGTTCGCGGTCGCGATAAATATCCTTCGGTGCGTGAATTATTTTAATAAGTCGACGAGGAAAAGGTGCCCGCCCCGCGAGTTATCGATCCCCGCGACCCTTTATTCCGTCGGTCGATCTCGTTATCAACGCCGTGGAAAAATGGTCGCCGCGGTTATGTTCGCGTCGCAATAAATCCGTGGCACGGTTGAATTATTTTAATCGTACGGGAATCGTGTTCGAGGAGCAAGGGCGACGCGTCGAACACGGAATAAAGTCGGAGGAGCAATATGCAAATTCCTGGGCATCGATTATGCAGAATTTCCTCCGCGGGATCGAACGATATTGAATGAAGTTATTTCCAGGTCGTTATAGGACGTCGGTGCACGTTCGATCCGCTCGTTTTCTAATTTTGGCGCGACTCATTCACGGGGAAATATGCCCGTTTCAATCGGGATCGTCGATAATTCAGAAACGAGCGGTGATTAGGGGAAAACGTACGGAAACGGAACATTTTGTGAATCGTCGCGGGTCGAGTTTCACATTTGTGATGTAAACAAAGTTTAAAAAAGTATCGATAGCCTTATAAGATGGTCCGGGGTTTGCTTTCCGGTGGCTGTGTATGTTCGAATACAGAAAGATTCGACTAGTTTGAACGCTCTCGCTGCTGGGCCCGCATAAAAACCCTCCTCGCTGGGCCGACTTTTTGGTCGTTAATTAGTTGCATTTTTTTACGATTCCTCGCCGCGTTGCACACACGAGCAATAGCTCTTTGAAGGGGCGAGATACAGACGAATGGACGTTGGGAGAAGGTAATGGAGGAAGGAAAAGAGGAAGACCGCGCGCGAGTTAATTTTTAAACCTCTCTCCTCGCATAATGTTCGCCATTGTGCGTTCCTCGGGTTTTCCTTCGCAGAAATCGACGCAAAATGCGCTCATTATGTATTCTAAGTTTCGAAAAAAACGCAGGAATACCTCCCAATAGAATTTAATTTCACAATTCGCTGATAAATAAAATCTTGCTAGCATCGTAAAACTATCCGTGTCGCTGTATCCTATCTTTTTTTTTCTATGGGATCAATGAATTCAAAACAGTTTAATCCATGAAAAGGAAAGCGTTTGTTGTGTGTCTCGTGCGTGTAAAAAAGAACTCGATACTTCTTGTCTTACACGTACGTCGTGCGAGCCAAATTGCGAAAGGGTTAAGCGTAATTACCACTCGCGCACCAAAGTGTTCATTAACGACCCGTGTCGTGGGACCGACAGGTTACGGCCCGATGCCAGGGACTCCTCTACATTGTGTCGAATCAGTTGCGACTCGATCATCCCGTCTCTTCGAGGATAATTAAAAGAGCATTTCAGGGCCCGAGGTTGATGATCCTGGGAAAGTCGCGACGAGCTGGGAATTCTCGACTTGTCGCGCGTTCTGCGAGCCGTATACGCAATCGTGATAGCATAATTTCATGTTCTACCGTACCCGGGGGGATACCAAAGTTCATCCCTCAAGGACTACTTACATTTTTAAATTCAACGTTGGAGGAAATAAATTCGAATACGAAAATAAATCCTGAGTCAAATTTTAAGTTAACTTCAAGTTGTTTGGTGTTAAAACGGTGTTACTCTAAGCGTGGTTTGGAGCACCTGCTGGATCCTTCGCGACTAATTCCTCGTGAGCGGTGTCACTTTCGCCGGAGCGACAACCCGATACACTGTGTTACTTTAACGCGCCATAAAATCTGCATAACGGAAGCCCGGCGGAGAGCGTGCGGTCGGGACGAATGGCGGGACCGGGCGCGGGTTAATTAAAAAAATTCAGTAGCCGCGGTAAATGAGGAAAATTAAATTTTATGGGAACGCGGTTAATCCCGTGGTACGCGACCGGTATTTATTGGCTACCGGTTCCCGGATCGCGTCTGACGTAATGGGAACGATTTTCGGGGAAGGATCATCGTCCCGATAAGATAAGCACCCTTCGGCGTCGCTTCTGTTGCCTCTTTTACGACCCGGCGTATACACGCCGACGTTCTTCGACACCTAGGTCCATCCCCCAAACCAGAGTCCGTCCAGACACTCCCCCGTGTCTCCCCGGTAATGGCTGCCTGTTTGTCGGATCGTGCAACAATTAGAATGCAAATCTACTAGGTCCCAGGCGCGTGTAAAACTCCGCTTCTGCCCTCCGTTGGCTGGAAAGCCGTAAAATCTCGAGGTTCCGTATAAATCAGCGGGATGAAAATTAGTCGGTTTAATTAATACGAGCGCCAGGTTATTTCGAC